GAAATCTCGGTGTCCCGGACGAGAAAAGGGACACCGGGTATGGATCATGCCGTGCTCTTCCTTGGAGGAGGAAGACTCTGGGCTCTTCGGCCACTAAAATTCCACAGGAAGACTCCGCTCGCCTTCTAGTTTCGCGGAGCGTAGCCGACAATTACGGAGCCCGCCGCGCGCAAGCGCTGCGCTCTCTCGTTCGTTGAACCGTCCGTGAGAGAGAATCGTTCAAGTGTGTGTGAGCGTGCATGCGTATGCGCGTGTATGTGTACGGCTGTGCGTCGGATGGAAAGGAAAAATATAAATTAGAGAGTAAGAGAGAGAGAGAGAGAGAGAGGGGGGGGAGAGAGAGAAAGGCAGAAAATGAGAGAACCAGAGACAAACAACAATCGTTGGATACTAATACGCTGATTCCGATACCAACGCTATCCCCGGACTTCGTATTCGTGATCCTGTATATTTTCGAATTAAAGCCCTATAACAGATAATAAAATGGCAATTTAGCTTATACAGTACAGATCTCCAAGGGATATTCTAAAGATGTCCTGAGGATATTTTAAGAACGTTTCCAGGATGTCTCTTGGATAAAGTGTGCTGTGGAAGAAACTAGTGAGTACCGACTTGTATTCAGGACGAAGCGTTACCCCTCATTTAGGTGCAAGTCGATCTCTGGCGAACGTCCGGCGGAAAATACCCTCCGGTTCTCTAAACATCGCGTCTATTGCGTTCTCCCTTTGATATCGTCATCCGAGAAACCGGCTGTCGCTGCCTCGAGGAGCGCGGTAGCGATCCGAACAACATGAATGTTGGAAAGATGTCATAAAGTTACCTTTTAAACATCTTTTAAATATATCCATACAAGATAGATCATTCCAACAATATTGCAATAATATTGCAATGTTCCAGCAATATTATAATAACACTGAAGATACACAGTAATTATCGCTGCACGCATCTGTGCTGTTTGTCATACAGTGTATAAGACTTACGTGGCACAGATCGTTCTAACAATATTGCAGTAATATTGAAGATGTGACAGCATATTGCTGCAAGCTCCTATGAGATACATTTCTAAAAGATATCTGAAAGACACTATAAAAATATTTCTATCATTTTTACATGCTTTTTTACAGACTATATGTTATCTAGAAATCGATCGCGATCACGAAACGAGCTGGCCATCATGGTCTTTTCGTATGAGGTTTCTCGATGAAGGGAGGACAGGGCCGAGAAGACTCAAGACCGTGGACGATTTCGGAGTTGACCTCGATGATGAAACATTTGTCGAGATAATATCTGGGGATTCGGCGAGTCTCGTCCGGCGAGATCGCGCGGCGCGCATCGACAAGAAACGGCATCGCTCGTTGTATATGCTTGCGTCATCGACAACAGTCTGTCTTGCTTACGTCAGTCGATTTTGTTATTATTGTGCATCATTATCCCGCGCACTCCGTATGCACGTCGCTCTGTCCTTCGTTTTCCTATGCATATGCGAGCATCCACTCTCTCGTTCGCTTTCCCGAATATGGAATTTAAGAAATTGTGAAATTTGAAGGAAACTCTTCTAGTAAAATATTTGCAAAATATACCATCTGGAATTATGTATTTTAATTTACCATTTATATATTGTTTGTATATCAGACATTCAGATTTTTTGTCTTGAGATTACCTATTCGTACTATTTTTCATACCTCGGTATAATAAATATTTAATCAGAATATATATTTTATTTGAATTATATTTAGTACAAAAAATGCAAATATTTGTAAAGATTTTACATGAAATAACAAATTTCTAAAAAATATACCCAAGCGAAACAAGTCGCGACATGTTGTTAAAATGAATCGTGACTGATGGAAAAGCGTCTTTCAGTAATCATTTTGGAGTCATGTATTGACGCCATTTTGATACCATTTATATATTACAATGACTTGTATGTTTTTGGGTATCCTTTACATATTATTTACATAATAAAACATTTGCAATTATTTACATAATTTATGCAGTATTTATTTTTGGGTTATTTCATTTCTGGATATAATCTCATGATATATTTGTTTTCTTTTTTGTTTTAAATTATCTTATGAATGATTTTATTTAACCTAATACAGACAAATTCAGTTATTGTAATTTTCTCAATTATATAGTTTGCTACATTTGTTACTTAATTATAATAATGTCCAGGTTTATGAACAGTATTGCTGATGTTTTACTTTTTAAGATGTAACTGTAAATTTGAATACCGTTTCATATTTATTATTTTATGTCTTACAAGTCAATAGAAAGCTAATTATTTTTATTATTAATATTATTATTATTACTACCCTCAGCGGTTCATGAATAGGATCATATTCTTTTATAATTAGCAAATTTTACATGATGCATGGAGTTACATTCTGCGACGGCTTCTTCACGAATAAACTTTGCTTCGTCGATGCGCCGCGCCGCGTGCATCACTGGCATAATTAGACTACGGCGAATGACTGCATCGTTGCAGAATTATCAATTTGCATTATATAAACTAGTAAATGGGAAGAATTCAGATTTCTACTTTATTCGATATAATATCGAAGAAGTGTAGTTCCATGCATTCAATGCGATCTAAGAATATAGAAGAGAAAATGGTTGAATATTATCACACAAAGAATTAAACAAAAATATCTGTTTGAAAAAAATGCCAAATCCGTTTAATTTATTCCGTGTTTCCTCGAATGACCTTTGTTTAAGCGCGCTCCGTCTCGATTATGTCATTTCTGTCTCATCCTTCAACTCGGCAATCTTTTCCGCAACGAGACTCTCGAGCTTCAAGAAAACAAGAGTCTCGTTATTAGAACGAGACCGCGTGATTTGTTTTGTTTCACCAAAATAGGAAAAAAAGAATCACTCGTCGCCGCACTCGCCATTCGGCGAAATTAAAAATACCACGAAGAGAGGCAGAAGACCAACTTGTATCGTAGATGACTAATCCGCTCTACCGGGTGTGCGCTTTGAGAACCGTTGTGTTCCTCGGCGCGTTCCGTGTGCACCACTCCATTACGCATTCACCAACACACGTCCTCGGCGTGTCTTCCATCCGAGCCGGGTCCGAGCCGAGCCGAGGGGATCCGAGCGCGGCGTCGGCGTCGACGTCGACGTCGGCGTCGGCGTTGTCGATGACGCCAAGCGACGACGCCGACGCCGCCTCCGCTCACTCTGCTCCGAGCTGTCGAACGCGCCGCAATCATCTCACCGTTCTCCACATCTCATCGCCAACACAGTCCCCCACCGTCCTCTCCTGATACTCTCCTCATTATCGTTATCGCGCCTTCCCATCATCGACACTCGTTATTTTCTGAAAGAACGTCAGTTGCTTCCTTGACTCATAGTTCTTCTTCCGCGCCGCAGACTGGGTTTCTCAGTTAGACAAGCTCTAACTCCGATCGCCTCCTTCACGTTGGTTCACTCCAAGTTTTTTTTCTCGAGTTCGACTTCGTCGGTTTTCCGATGATCTGTCGATCCTTCTTGGAATTCCCGGACATCTCTCGGGGAACTCCTGGCTGTGCGGTCGGGTGAAAGTCTCCAAGGGTGAATCTCGTGCATTTTTCCCATGAGAGTGCCGGCGAGCCGGTAGACTTCCTCTTCTCTTCGGACGTGTCCTTTATTTCGTCTGTCGCGAATGTTGTGCTCGATTCATTCGTCGTCCCCCTCGCACGAGGACGCGTTTGGTTCATTCATGATGGGACTGTATCTCGCGGGCCCTCGCGAACGGGACGACGGTGGTAGCCGAAGTCGCGAAACAACTTAAGACGATCATCTTTTCCCCCAGAGAGCAAGAAACTGCGGGACTGCGCGGATCGCAAACCCCCGTCGTTGAGGGGTACAAAGCTGGACCAAACTGGAGGAAGGATCGCGCGACTTCAAGGTAAAAGAGCTTCCCCCTCTTTACGATCCAGGGGAGCCTGTCATCGGGTTTGGGATCCCCGAGAGCAATGCACGCAGTGCTTGTCCTCGTGAGCGGAGGTGTTCCCTGCTGTTCTCCCCCCTTTCGACCCCCCTTTTGCTGCTGTACCGGTCGGCTTTGAATCAATAATCTCCGGCCAAGATTATATGTAGGCTCCCCCGCGGTATCTAGTATTCGAGAACAAAAAAAAAATGTATCGAAAGGATTATGAGGTAACCGAGTAGGGACTCGCTAGGTTCCAGGAAATTGATTTTCCTTCCCACATCAATGTTCTCTCCTATTTCTCTCTCTCTCTCTCTCTCTCTCTCTCTCTCTCTCTCTCTCTCTCTCTCTCTCTCTCTCTTTCCTCTCGCTCGCTTTTATTCTCTTCTGGGTTTAGCAACGGTGCGCGCGATATCAGTGCGCGGATTATTGATTTCCTCGTTCTCTCCAGCTTGCTTATGTTATTTTCGTGAAAAAGATAGAGCGCAATGATCGTTGATTATAATACCGGTGAAATCATCTGCCTCAGCGGAGAGGCATGACAAGAAGTCCCGCGGTGGACGTAACGACCCAATTAATCTGTATTCTACGTTGATTATTTCGGTGTCTCTTCATTTTACTCTGTTGTCGTTTAATTTCACTCTGATTTTTATATAAACTGTCTTTTTAGTGTTTTGGTTTTGCAGGACTTGAGTATTTATACTTTTTTAATATCTTGATATTCTGAATAGATATTTTTACTTTATACTTATGGTAATATTTGTGTATACTTTCCTAGTATCATTAATGTATTTATTTATATAACATAGATATATGTATACAATATTATATAAAAATATACATATATTATGAGTGTGTTGTGTGTATGTGTGTGTATGTAAAACAATAATTACTTTTTATTTCATCTTGATATTTACATGATTTTAGTATTTTCATTTTACATTTCTATCCCATTCCACATATATAAATCGTTACAATTTATCGATATTTTTACTATTGCTAATGTCGTACAGAATTCCTAATCGATTATTTCTTCACCAGGAATGTAGAGTTGTTTTTTAATTTCCAATTAACTTTGTGCTTGCAGATGGCAGAAACACCCGAGATGGAATCGCCTTTGGCCCGTCAGGACTGTTTTGTTGAGGCCCAAGAGGATTCCACCTCAGTGGAAGTCGAGGCAGAAGGTACACCGTCGCCAGGAATGATATCGACAACGATAACGACGACAACAACGGACGCCGGCGACAACGACTACGCGACGTATCCGTCCGTCGTGCGGGACTCGTGCGAAGACTTGGTGGTCGAGAGATTGGACGAAGAATCTGAAGCGAGACAGTCGAGTGATAAGCCGGAAGCGAGTCAGGGTGAAGAAGAAAAAGAAGAAAAAGAATTGAATATGGGTTTAACAATAGGCAAGAAAGTTAACGAGAAAAACGAAAAGGACGAAATTGATGCGAAATCGACGGAAGACACTCTTCAGGAACTTGAAGGATCACCAAGAATGCCTGATTCTCAAAATCGCGATATCGATGAATCCTCGGAGTTGTGGGAAAATGGGATCGAAGAGTCCATGTCGTCGGACGTTTCCAGGAAGAGACCAGCCGCGAGTGATTTCATGCCGATTGGCGCGGAGATCAAGAGAATCGGCATCGAGATCTCGGAGGAGCAGGCAACTCAGCTGAGGAATGATGTCAGGAGACTATCGCCGGTATTGGTGAGCTTGCGAGAACGGACTTTGGGTGAAGTATCCCTAACCTCGGAGTCCTGTCTCTTCGGGGACGAGCTAGACGGTAGGATAACGCCAAGATCCCCTGCGAGATCGTTTATGGTGAACAATTCCAGAAATCAGGATGTCGATCAGAATCGCGGGAAACAGGATGTGAATGAGGAAAACAAAGTGGAGAAAGAAACGATCGGTAGAATCAGTTCGGATCCTTTAGAATGCACGAGCAGCGGTGACGTCGAGGTAACGATAAATGGTGCGAACAGAAAAATAAATTATGAAAGCGAAGGCGAAATTACGACGTTCGGCGTTGACGTGGATTCTTCGATATTCTCGAAAAGCGATAATTTGGATGGGACGACAGAATCCTGTCAAGACGAAGATGCGAATATGTCCACGAACGCTAGAAGCGAGTCTTGTACCACGATTAAAAAACATGTCAAAGCAACGATGAGTTCTGAAGTACCATCAAGTCCATTGTGTCGAAATTTAAGTATCGTATTGAATCGCATTGAAAATGAAGATTCAAAAAAGAGAGAAGAAAGTGCCGCAATAGATACAAACGTCGATGAGAACATATGGAATTACGTTGTCGAGGAGAACTCGCCTTATTCCGATGGAAAAAAGAATTTCATCGAGGAGGAGCACGATTCGTTCAAATCGACTTCGGGGACTCCGGATAAGAACTCGAAGAAGCAACGGTGGCAGAGTCCCACCAATAATTCCAGTCCAATAACCAGATCGAAAAAGTATGAGTTGATAGAGAGTGCTCGTAGTCCAGACAGTGAATTGACCCTGAAGAAGTGTAAAGTAGTACTGGAGCGAATCAACAAGGCCACGGGCCATTCATCACAATCGGAAAATACAGAGGAGAGTGAGAGCGGAGCTTCAAGGGAACTCGAGAAGAATGACGAATCCGCGCCTGTCGCAGTGATTGGTAAACTCGAGGAAAACGAAGAGGTGGTGCTGGCGAGCTCGTCGCCCACGGCCGAGGACAGTCGCGTGTCCAACGAGCTGGACTCGTCGGAGACGATGCCGAGTTCGCCGGAAGAGACACCGGAAGTATCGGTAGATGTTGCCGAGGGCGTCGACACTGAGACGGAAACGGAAACTGGTTCCGACAGTTCGGAGGTGTCGCCTATCACCAGCATCCGTCACGAATTGCGTGACGCCGACATGGCGCCCGATCAACTACCCTGCTCTGAAGGGGTCACCTTGTGCTGTGTGGAGGCGATAGCGCCGATCATGACGAGATTGGAGGCCGACCGACCAGAAGCGTACACGGAGGATTCTGCCGAGAGCCTGGCCTTGGCAACTGGTGCCAGGGACGAGGTTAGATCCGATGGGAGCGATTCTGGTCTGGGAAACGAAATCCCTGGTGACCCAGGACCGGCTCCTGCGCCGGAAAGTGATTCAGAAACCTCTTTTCTCGACAGGCTGCCGGATGACATTCTCTCTGATAAAGAAAAAGGTAAGAAACATTTTCTTTTTCAAGCTTCTTGTCACTTAAGAAAAAAATGATATAAATATAATAATTATTACGAACATTATAGCAATAATCGCTATAAAAATGGAGCTTTAACCACAATTCTTTGAATACGTTTTGTTAAGAAAATATACTGCAACATTTGTTAAGAAAATACACTGAGACAAAAATTTTATATATATAGATATTTTTTACTATAATTATATGTGATCATAATTATAATTTTTTTTATTACTGCTACAATATTAGTGATATACGTTACATGATAATGTTAATTGACATCGAAAATGACTACAAATTGTATAGTTATTAATATAAAATTGCAACTTAATTATAATTTATTGTCATATTTTGAGATAAACATATAAAATATGGTTAACCAAAAAGAGCTATAAATTACAGTCAATTTTCGATATATGCTAATAGTATATTATAAAACTATACATATGCTCTTATTATTATTGATATTATAGCAGTAATAATCATAACTAAAGTGACATGTAATTATAGTCACAAATATCAAAAAGTTTTTTTTTAAATATAAAATTAGTACAAAATTAATTAATCGGTGTTCGTGAATCGTTATTTAAAAATTAAATAAGAAGAATATTATTTATCGTTTTGAACAGATTTGAATGGATTTTATAAACGCATTATTGGTTGTAAACGATCGCTTAAAAATTATTCCATTTTTATTTTATAATTTTAAACTTTTTATATAATTTTCTTCAATGACTTCTGATTCTATCATCAGTTACGAGACGTTGTACGGTGTACATCTATCCTATTTTATATACAATTTCTAAACTATATGTTATTCAACATTTAAATTATTCAATTTAAATTATCTGCAAGTGCAAGATTGCTTCATCTTTTACAAAAAATTTTACTAAAAGTAGCTATAGTGCAACCTTTTAACAAAGATATTGCTATTAAGCTGTAAAACTCCAAGGATAATCATTTTAAATTGTACGGCTAGCTTAAAGATTTTTACAGACTTTTATTCTTATAAAAACGCGAAAATTTTAAACTCTGCAAGGACTCTCCTTGCCAATTCAGTCTAACATTTACATCAGGTCTAAGCTGTCCAGCGACAGAGCGAGGAGAGTGCACAACTCGATAAGCCTCGCATCGATTGTCAACGCGCAATACATTGAGTGTCACAGAACAAACGGAAAGCACGACGTTGCTTTCTCGATAAAAATCAGGGTGAACTTTTCTTGGCAAAATGTCAACTAGTCGACTTCTACTTCGACGTTTGAGCCTTGAATTAATATATCGTTGTAGTAAAACCCGCTTTGAACTGAAGGACGAATAAGGAATTTTGTTATCTATAGAAAGATTTTCTCCATCGCCACGGATTGACTCGCAGCGGTCTCTTCCTTCAATAAAAAATCATTACTGTCCCTCGAATCTCTCTTGCTGACAGAGGTTGACAAAATTTCGTAAGAAGGATTTGGCACGTTACTTTCTCTCTCAATAAATCGTAATCTACCAAGACCGTAAAATCTTCGGAATTTCTGAAAAACTCGAGACAAAGCGTCATATGCGTTCTTTTGTTCTTGGTTCATACAACATAGATCATTCTAGCAGTATTACAGTAAAGTGAGTAACGTTATAACGTCAAAAAATATTGTAGTAATATTGAAAACTTTACCGCAATATTGCTAGAATGTCCTGTACATATATAGAAACCTATATAGTACAAAACTTTTAGCAACTTTGCTGCATTGTCTACAATATAACTGAAATATTGCCGAAACGTTGCAATGTTGCTGCAATATTGCTGGAATAGACTGTGTTATAATGAGTCCTATACAACGCAGAAGCTTTCAATCACATTGCTGCAACATCTTCATGTTACTGCAATATTGTTACAATATTGCAATATCGCTGAAATTTTGCTGGAATGTTTCGTGTTGAATGGGAGCGATTTCCGTAGGGATTTGCTGTTTCGTGACATGACATTCGCGTTTTTTTAGGGGTGAATCAGTTGGATGGCTATGCGGCGTCCTCGGGGACACCCGGAACACCAGGACAGTTACCTCTGACGAACTTCCGGACGCTTCCGGCCAAGAGTAACCTGAAGCGTAGGCTGACCGATTGCATGGAAGGCGACGAGTCGCGGGGTAACGTTGACGAGCCTTTAAAGAAGAAACGCAACATCCAGTTTGACGCAGTGACGGTCTATTACTTCCCCAGAGCACAGGGTTTCACCTGTGTACCTTCCCAGGTAAGTCAGAAAATCGGTCCCTCTCTCTTTATCTTTCCTTTCAGCTCGCAACCTTTGTGCTATCTTTGTGATATCTTTGTGACGTCTTCCCTTTCTTCCTTTTACATCTGTATCTCAACCACCTCACTACGCTGTAGAACGTGGTTCATTGAACTTCATTTAAATTTTCATATATTTTCAATCCATTCTTTCGGAAGAGTATAAATACGGAAAATTTGCATGTCTATTTTGCCATTGTTCTCTTTGCAATTTGTACACTTCATGCATTATTAATTGTATTGCTCCAATTATATTTTTACATGTTATTTTTTATTGTTTATTACTTTTCTTCTTCCCCCTCTTTGTATATAAACGCGCATAAATATAATTAAATTAAGAGATACTTCATTTATTGAGGTCCAAGAAAATAAATAACAAGCATCCAAAATTATTTATGACGGGAAATCGAGTTTTGTCATTTATAAAACCCATCCCATAAAAAGTAGCGATCGAATTTATATATATGAGATACGATTGATTCCTTTTTCTTTCAATCGCGTTCACGCAAGATACTCCTCTTTCAATTTTTCCCTCTATTTGACATCATTTATAATATTTTGTAGTAATATCATGATAATATTCACTATCAAATTTGTGTAAGACATCATCGATTCCCTTTTCTTTTATGTGTTATTACTTTACAATAAAACTCTATGGCATGATATAACGTTTCTTATTGGTTGGGCATAACGTTTTAGCCATAAGGGATTCTATAATCGCCATATAGAGAGAAAAATTTAACAAGTTTTTTTAACGATCTGTTTAATAGTGTAATATCATTTGTATTTTTATTACGAGATTTATTTTTATTTAAGTGTTATTATTCTTATTGTTATTAATTTTGTTTTTGTTATTAGTCAATTCATGGATTCATATAAATTTAAAATAATGAAAGTACGGTGATAAAAAAAATAAAATTTATATATTTAAATATTACATATGTTTTATATACATAAATTTTTATAATGAAATATTAATTTTTTTTATTATTAGTACATATTACACCATTAACGTTCCGTTCTCTTATAGTGTTTATTTCGAAAGATCGTCTTCAATCGAATAAGTGAATAAATAACGGTGTACGCGAACGTGGATTTACACAAGAAATATGAGAAATCGATTATCGCGATTTCAGGGCGGCAGCACCCTGGGCATGAGCGCGACGCACACGCACGCAGAGAGGTTCTCGTTATCGGAGCACGCAGCCGAGCAGAGGCGGATCCACCGAGCGCGCCTTGCGCAACTGCGCTCGGAACGCAACTGCGCGACCAACTGCGTGACAGAGACAGCGTCCAGCTCAGAGGATCCGAGCGACGACACCGACGAGGAACCGAGCGACAACGAGGAGCTCGACATCGACAGTTATTACTTCCTACAGCCGGTGCCCACGTGGCAACGTCGAGCGCTTCTTAGAGCCGCCGGCGTACGAAGGATAGATGCTGTTGAAAAGGATGAATGTCGTGATATCCGCGCCAGCAGAGAGCATTGTGGATGTGGCTGCAAGGGATACTGTGATCCTGAAAGTTGTCCTTGTAGCAGGGCCAACGTAAAGTGTCAGGTGAGAGAGAGAGAGAGAGAGAGAGAGAGAGAGAGAGAGAGAGAGAGAGAGAGAGAAAAAAGTGTGTGTGTGTGTGTGTGTGTGTCGTAGAACATGGATGGAATCAACATTCTATCCTATTATCATAAATTAACTGAACGATATAACGCGATAATTTGGCTCTTTTAAATGGTACTTTGTTTTAAAGAAAGAAGAACACATTCTCCGTATATAAAATTTAAGAAACTTTGATCCTGATTGAATGCGAAGTGAAAAATTAAAAAGTTCTGATCTACTTTTTTTTTAGAAAATTCATGTAAACTTAATTTTATTCAGTCTGAAAGATCAATGTGTTATATAATTTGAGATTAATCCGCTAAAATTTTTTAAAACCGCCGTTGCATTAAATCATTCCAACAATTAATCTTCATTTATTAACACGTTCTATTTTGTTTAGATCAGTTTAGTTAATTGAAACTGGATAAACTAAAGGATTCAACGGGTTAAACTTGAAATCAGTTCTTTTATCTTCAGCTTTAAAAAATCGAGAATCTTGTTTTGAGAAGTGCGAAACGATTTTTCATTAAATTCGGTTTTCAGGTGGATCGACCAGGTTTTCCTTGCGGCTGCACGCGGGACGGTTGCGCGAATAGTACAGGCAGGATTGAGTTCAATCCAGTACGGGTGCGGACGCATTTCATCCACACGTTGATGCGATTAGAACTGGAGAAAAAGCAGCGTGACGAAGACGGTGGTGGAGATCATGATCAGGTGATGGACAATCAGGGACAGAATGGCAGGGGGGCTCGTCCTCTGAGGAATATCGGTTCCCTAGGAATGGAAGCTACCGTGGGTGATGTGTGCGCAATTCCGGGTACGGGACCCGGGGGTGGTGGATTCACGACCTTACACTATGAGACAAGTCACGAAGGTGTCGGGGCTGGTGTGGCTGGCTGCCAACCAGAGGTGCCTGGCACGCGGGAGGACAGTTTGGATTTGTATGCCATTAGAGATGATTGTTATGCAAGCGAGGATGCGGTAGACAGCAGCCAATCGGTCGTTGTGCAGCGGAAGCTACATCCAGAATTCGGCCAGGCCTTTCAGAGCTTTTCGCCCGGCGTGCAAAATAGTGCCACCGGCGGCGGCGGTGGGGGTGGTGGTGGCGGTGGTAGCGGTAGTGGCATGAGTTTCCAGCAGTCTTCGTACCAAGACTATGGATCGCCTTATGCGAGTCTGCCGTCTACGTCGCGATTCCAGCCACCGCCACCGCAGTTCCAATCGCCGCCCAATCCGGCTGCCTTCGCGCACTACGGACCCTACGGTGGGCCCCAAGACGCCGCGAGCACCGCTCTTCAGGGCGGTTGTACCGGCCAAGTACATCAAATGCCACAGCCACCGCCTCCCCAGGGTCAACAGCAACAACAGCAGCAGCATTCGTCCTATGATGCGACGGTGTTCGCGCAGGACGACGCTACGGGTACCGCACAGTACACGAATCTCACCAATTCGGTGCAGCCGATGAATGCAACAGTGGTGCAGCAGATGCAGGGCAAGCTCGAGCCTTTCTCGGAGCTACTCAGCGGTAGATACTCATACTATGGTGAAATGCATGAACCGCAGCAACATCACGGTACTTACGGTACTCATGGCACGGCCGGCAAAGTTGCGGAAATGATTGAGCCCAGTCAGGTCAGCAGTGAGCAACAGCCCGATGGCGCGTCCGAGGACTGCGATGAGAATTTTGGTGAGATCATCAAGAAGTCTATGGTGGAGACTGTATCTGCCTAGGATGAAGCCTTTTCCTGTTCACATGACGAGAAGAAGGAACTCGGCCCTTAATGCTCGATAGTCCGCTTTTTCGAATCCTTCATTCAGGACCGTTTAAATACAGGGAAACTTGACACATACCGTAAACGTTGTTAGTGGCTCGATTCCTTCAAAGTCTGGAAGATCGAAATCCTTTGGATCTCTTCCAATTTTGCCAATAATTTGGAAAATGAGAACTTCGAGGACAATCTAGATGGAGGAAGAGATTTCGGAGGTTGTTGACGGTTCGCCCTTACTTGCGATACATAAACAAGAGCGAACATGGTGCCCTCCGAGGGAGGGAACATCTCCTGGGGCCTCGGGTTTTTGAGAGATCTCATTAGAGATCGTTAGAGAATTTTACGGCTACGACGTGTGCGTCCGCCCGGGATGGAGAGACTCACGATGTCATCGTCGGCGTCGTCCTTAATCCTCAGGATCGACGCGCCGGTAAAGTTACCCTATACAGCACAGAAGCTTGCAGTAATGTTGCAATGTTACTATAATATTACTAAAATGTTGCAAATTTTGTAATTTTGCTGGAATAATCTGTGCTGTGTGGGATATAAGATTTTGCGAGCTTATAATTCTTTTCCACTGCGATCGAGAATAGATTCTTGTTTGTAAGTGCGGAAGAATAGTAGTAGATCGTGGAGATGAGTGATTCGTCCGGCGCAGACTAACGACGATGTACGTTATACGAGACGATGGCAACGAGGCTCTGGGCTTGGGGAAAGATGGAACTAGAGATCCTCAAGTAGGAGATTGATTATTGTTCGTCATATTCAAAATGGATAGAACTTAAGATATGCATGGATATCTCCCAGATGACATAGCATATTTCAGAAATATTGCAGTACCATTTCAACGTGCTATCTGGTTTATTCTTTGTGTGAATAATCTATCTATCCTAAATATACTAGTCCTAAATATGATGGACTAATCAAAAGTTGTCTAAACAATGACCAGTCTCTTATTTGTCTATTCTTTTCAATTGTACTTCTTGTACCATTTATTTTTCCACTTTTCCTCTTCACATTAGAAAGAAAAGGAGGAAAGATGAAAGGCACAAGAAGTTTAGCTTGAAAGAACAGATTCTTGAGTACTTTTAGGTGGAACCTCCAAGCCCTGGGATTCTCGTCGGGAATCTTCAAGAGCGATCCGTGAGCAATGGTAGGAAAAGATTTCAACGAGGTTGTGACCAAGAAATAACACATGGGATCAGCTTATAGATTGCAGTTTATAATATCTAACTTTAAGCGTTAAGGAACGACCGACCGGGAGCGGGTCGCGCGTCCTTTTAGACGAGCCTCGAGTCCAGGGGCTGCGTATGCGGATAATGTATCGATCTAGAGCGAATCTGTGCTCGCTCTAATTCGAGAGAATCGTTCTGGAATGCACATATACACAAACACATAACTATACGGCACAGAAGCTTGTAGCAACATTGCTGCAACGTTGCAATGTTACTGTATTATTACTGGAATGTTGCAACGTTGCTGTAATATTATTGGAATATTGCAATGTTGCTGCAATATTGCTGGAATTATCTGTGCTGTATAAGTAGACACGTATACACAGTTGAATTTTGAAGATTTATATTATTTATGTATATTGTACGCACAATATAATTTATATTATATTGTGTACAATATACTGTATATCGAAATTTATATACATATATATACAAATATTAAATCTGTATTCAATATTTTTATATCGGGATTTGTATAATATTTATATGAATTTTCTCATATAAGTACTATATACATTTAATAGAAATATGTACAATTTATTTAATGTTTTATATAATGGAATTTATTAAATAGAGCTCCAATTAGATTGACATTTACGCGATTGATTATTCTTAGTTTCTCACGTCCGAACTTAGCGTCGAGAAACGTTGCGGAAAAAAAGTAATAGGAAAAAACTAAGATTCTGCAAAGAGTGCGTTGCAACTCTTGGTGAGGACGAAATTCCAGAGTGAGAACTTTGGATCTCTCGAATCGATAGAGCTGCCGAATCGCGCTCTAGAGCGGAACTTTGAGGCGCGAGGTGAACGAAGCGAAACACAAGCGTTTCGTTGATTGTCGTTCTCGAACAGCGAAGATAACGATGACAAGAACAAAATGTAAAGCGAGAAAGGCACACGCGTACACATGACACATTCGTGACGACAAGCGTGAAACGTGAGCGATTGTGATACTCGTGCATACGAAGAGAAAAAAAAAATAAGAAGGGAGGAAGGAGAAAGAACGGTTCAGCGCCAAGTTCGTAGGTTAAGAGATAAATTATATGGGACTTTTTTATGCCGGTCAATGTAGAAGCTGCGAATGTTTCCAGTGATCGACGATGAAGCGCGGATTTCGATTTTCTTCTTTCGCGAATCAAGATCTCGAACGTGTCGAGCGCCAGGAGAATATTTTTTCGAAAAAAAAAAAAAACGATACAATTTTGCTAGCGCGGGCGATCTTATATATTTAAAATATAAATGAATATATATATATACATATAATTACATGTAAAATGATATATTTTAAAATTATATAAGCATACTTTAAAAAAAATATAATGTATTTATATAGGAGTATATACAATTGTTATTTCTTAATTTTTATTTTACGTTTTAGAATATATTATAGTATTATTTCACAAATCATGGAATGGTCAAGCAATTAAATTAATTATTTTGAATGAGAAGTTAATTTTATGTGTTGTTAGAGTAAATTATGACATGTGTTTTACTAAATTAAATTTCTATAATTACATATATATATACGTATATACATACAGCGACTGCTTAGAGCAATCATACTTTTATAATTTGGCGCTCGATACATTTGAAGTTCTCCATTTTAAATTGTTAAACAGACATTTGTAACTGACATTACGGTGCCTATGTAATTATATACGACTTTAGTCGCGTGATTATTCTCTCCGCCCCGAACAAAGGGGAGGGAACATTCTCTTTCGGAGGTGCGGAGGTGGTGAAATTTGACGGACACAAATACGGCAAGAGAGATTTGAAGAAGGCGAAGAAGCTCAAGAGAAGAAGGAGGAAGAGGGAAATTCGCGCTTGAGGCGACAGGGTCGGCTCTCCGGCGACGAAAGGAACGGCTGAGATTTGCGAGAGAACACATCGCACCGCCATCACGCTACCGACTACCCTTTTTGCACCACCCGTTCATTCTCCAAACTGGAAAGAAACCAATCAGTCGTATCCTCCGTAGAAGACATTTCAAGAGAAACGGACCTCTCTTAAAATTTAGCGCATCCCGGGACGTTGATCGCTGTGTCCACGATTAATCGAAGCACTATACATAAGCGAAGCGTTAACGATATGACGATAGTATTAAATTTATACACACATATGGATTACACATGCGTAAACAATTACACACACACAGACCACACACACTCATACACACAATATACGCATACATGCATATACACTTGAAGCCGGACGTGTCAATTCCTGAGATTTGCGAGGCACTCTTTTTTATTTTTATTTTATTTTCCTTTTTTTCTTACTCCCTGATCGCGCTGGCGTACCTCATTGTGTTCATCGTCGATGATCGGTGCCTAACAAAACGAGTGGAAATCGTTGATTGATAGAAAAAAAGGAGCAATTAGATTGATAGAGAGAAAGGTGCAAAAGTGACGAAATGTTTTGGAGACATGCATGGGGAGATGGGAGGAGGGGGGGTGTATCCAAAACGCGAGAGGGATGTGACACGTCCGCGCGCGTGGCATTGAAGAAAAAAAAAAGAATAAACATATAAAAAATTATACACGTATGTAAGTAACTTTTAGAGTATTTGAGTAAAAAAGAGGCATACATAGTTGATAGCGTTTTATTAAATGTTGTGAAAAATGTCTCTCATCTGTCTGTCTGTCTGTTGTCTAAATGTCTATCGTCTCAGTCTTTATGTTCTTAATGCACGTTTAGCGTTAAATACGGCTGAACTATTTTCCTGAGATAATTTAAGAACTTGACAATTTAACAGAACAAGAAATATTTTCTTTCTAATCATCACATACAGATCTTTATTACTCGCGACTGTTTAAATATGGAATCGAACAGCCACATTTAGCGCTAAGAGAGTGTTATCAGAACACTTGTTTGTTTGCATTCAAGAAAGATGTTCTTATCCATCCTTGTTATCCATGTCCTCTGTCTTATTCTAACATAATGGTTCTTGTCTTCTTCAGTACTTACATCATATCAAGTTACTCTGAGGATGACAGGTTATTTTGATGATTGGTTCTCATTTTAGAGAGAGCTCTTTTGTGACTATATATACGAGGCAAATCAATAAATATAATCCGTGTTTGAAGACAGGCGACATTGTTGATGCAAATTGGTATTACCATCGTGTACTACCATATTTCAAACGACGCCATACGAAATTTTAAAGTGATTCATGCGACAGTTTTTATTTGACAGCAATTTTTAGCGAGCGTATTTGGCGTTTTTCGATGCAATAGAAAAAGAACAATATTGATCCGTAATTTCCTTTTTATTTTTGGAGAGAAAAACGTACGAAGAAATAAAAATGAGGTTGGATACATTGTCGTAAACATTGATGAAACATATTTCACATTCATCACTACACCCCGGAGACCAAGGAACAGTCAAAATAGTAGACTTCACGTAGCGAACGTGCTCTGAAGAAGGTCAAAACGAGGTCTCATTGGTCGGAAAGGTGATGGCCACTGTTTTTTGTTAAATGCACAAGGTGTGATCTTTATCGACTTTTTTGAGAAGGAAAAAACTATCATGGGGCATTATTATGCTGATTTATTCGGCTGATTTGATATTGAATTGAAGAAAAAACGAATGAGGAGGTCATCACCAAAACAGAGGCTTACTTTGAGTTTAACAAATCGTATTTTTCGAAGGGATTAAAAAATGGCAGGGGCGTTGGGGGAAAGTGTATCCTCCTAAGAGGGGATTATGTTAAAAAATAAAAAAATATTGTGAGAAGCTTACATCTTCATTAATAACACGGGTACTTATTGATTTGCCTTCGTATGTATGAGTTGCTCACCAAGGAACGAGAAAATATTAGTTCGTTAATTCAACAATATTGATATCTT